TTTTGTTTTCCGCTGAAGCGCAGCCGTTTGAACCCATTGTTTTTGGCCCAAAAAAAGGGCGTACGAGTATGAGTATGAGTATGACGATGCCAATGCGACGACGTGAGCTGCCGTCTTTTGAGAACTGGTAAATGGTATATCGCATATCGTATATGGTGTACGGTGTATGGTGTATGGTAACTTGGAAGCGGGTAGCTTTTCTGTCTTTTTTTGGGGACCCCTCTCATGTTAATTGATAGCGCTGGATTAGTTGGATCGATAAATGCAATGCATTCGATATGATTTCCTGGAAATTGTCGCTGGTGGCTCATTTGAATTATGTGAAACGAGTGGGTAAATGAGTGGGAATTTAATTCTCTGGGAGTTGGTTTACCCTTTCGTGATTTTAAAACTACTTCTTGTATATGCACTCATCACCGATGACCTGAAGAACTCGAGTTCTTTAAGCTTTTAGCTTAGCTTTTTGTTGGTGCATAGAAACTAAAGTTTAAATTACAAAGATATAAGCTAGGTTAAAGTTAAATGTCCCTATGTTTTAAGACTTTTTTTCTTAAGATTTTGCAAACACAGATAGTGAAAATTATAATGTTCTATTCAATGTAAAAAACGTTTTTCAAATAGTTTCAAATAAAGCTATTCCTCTTCATGAAACTATTGAATTTAACATGTAATGTAATAATGTAATGAATTTAAGATTCTTTCTAAGATATTAAAGATGAAATAATTTACCATATGAAGTGAGAGACTTAGTTGTTTAAGGGGTATAAGTTCTGTCCATGGATTGCTCCACCCCCAGTGACCTCCAAGGTCCTCTGTTTCATGCAGCTATCACCTGTAAATGTAAGACGCGAGGCTCAGGTGAAATTTATCAGCCAAAAGGGGAGGAGTCCGCCAGTTCGCGTCCTCCACTCGCCGACTTTCGAGCTGGGGAGGCTGCCCGAGGGCACTCACTCGCTCACTGGCTCACTCGCTTCCTCGGACGTATTAAATTAATATTTACTTTTTGTCAAAAGGCTATAATCAAGCACGCTGGCGATGACAGGCTAAGAGGCTCTAATTACAGCTTGTTACCCTGATGCAGCGGCCACACAGGTCGTGGCTCACTTCGCCTTCGCCTTCGTCTTCGACTGGATCTGGATGTGGATGTGGATGTGGATCTGAAACTGGGAGTGGGACTACTACTTCAACTGGGACCCCGTCTTCCGTTTATGCTAAGTGGCAAGCGCCGTCGTCGCCCTCATCCGCATCCTCATCCTCATACCCATCCTCCCTCCGATCTTCAGCCATCTCAACTTCGCATGATCCTCGCTGCAGAAGCACAATTATGCACTTGAAACATTTCATTTGCTGAATTTAACCATAGTTTATTTTAAAAACATATATTTCTTGGTTAAAATTTTGAACCATATTGTAGTTTTTATATGGTTTTTGTTACAACTATTGTAAAACCTAATGTAAAGCAAAATCTAAAGTACAACCTGAAGCTTATCATAGCTTGGGCTAATGAAAGCCAAATTATCATTTATTAATTATGGTTTTATTTGTGTGAGAAACGGCAGACATTTTTGAAAGGGATTTCATCATCAACATATGAATATTTTAAATCTAATAGTCAAATTAGAGTGGTTTGGAATTTAAAAAAAATGTTTCTTAATCAAGTTATGGGCCGAGAATTTGTGGTCTATGTCACTTATGTGAACAATTATGTTTGGAACTTTAGTTTTTTCTTCTTTGCCACATCAAATTTTGTAAGTGTACCCATCGCCAGCTCATTCCAAACTGCAGCATATTTGCGGGTTTAATGCACTGCCTGCACCTCATCCTTCTGCGTTGGCTGCAGTTTGATTGAAGCCAGCAAATTAAAATCCCCAGCCAGGTGCCCCGAGAGCCCAGAACTCGGAAAACAGAACCCAGAACCGAGATCCCTATTCCGAACTTGAACCCCAATCCAATTCACTCGGGTTGGTGGCATTCCAAATGCAATTCTCACGATTTGGCAGCCATTTGTGTACCTCGGGCCTCATCATCTCCTTGTAAGCTGCTCATTTGGCCATCGCCAACAAGCCGGCACAGATGCTCTGGCCCGATCAAATTAACCATTTAAATAAAACATTTGTTTTGATTTGCTTTGCTTTGGTTTGCCAGGGAGGCAAACTGGCAAACCGGCAAACTGGCAAACATGCTGGCTGACAGGCGGTCAGAAGAAATTCCGGGCAATTCAAGTTCAGAAGGGCCTCGAGATCAGCGCCAGATTTAACCGGTATACAAAGAGGCATTTATTATATACCTCTACCTATATGTGTGTATTTCCCTCCGATTTGTCACGCAATGATGTGCGAAATGCCTTGCACGCACCAATTGATTTTTAAAGTAATAATAAGGGAAGGTTAGTCAAAGCTCTTTAAATTCCTTGGCAGGTCTATAAAAGCTGGAATTTTAAACAATTTTTCTGTCTCTTAAATAATTTGTTAACCATTATTGCAGGTAAAAATTTTTGAAGATATATTTTCTAAAAAAAAATTGACTCATAAAACGTATTTTGGTAGTCGACTAACAACTCAGCTTAAGAAATGCAAGAAAAGGCTCCTTACAGAGAATGTTAAACTTGTTTTATGCAACAAATTGTTTGAAATTAATTGATTAAAGGAAACATACTTTAAATTGTAATGCTTAAGAAAACAATTTCATAAAGTATTTCAAAAGCCAAAACAATGCTAAAGAAATACAAAAATTAAATACTTGTGATTGTGCTGGAAATATAATTTATGCCTGCAAATTGGTGTGGAAATAAAAATGAATATTTTTAATTACTTTGCCATATGCAGAGAAATGGGTGATATATTCAAAAGGAGGGGGGCATAACAAATTGTGTGTTTAAATCGCGATTATGAGATGTTCATAAAATTTGCTTTTGCGGACATTAAAATGTGTATAAATTGCATGGAAATGGAATTCATTAAGCGCAAGAACGGCGACAAGTGGTGATGATGACAGCCATCAGGAAGCTTCGGGTCCAGAGGGGCTGCTTATCCCCAACCGATTGCCAAATTATCATTTATTAATTATGGTTTAATTTGTGTGGGAAGCGGCAGATCAAACAATTTCACGATTCACGGAATAAGTAAATGAATGCGAAACAAAAAATGAAGCAACACAGACGCACCGCGTCAACAACAAATAATAAATTTAAGAAGAAGTCGCATTAAAATGCAAATCAATGCCAATAAAACACAACTCATTAAAAGCGCAACTAGGCGGTTAACAACCCGATACGAGTCGATTCGATCCAAGGCGTCCAAATAAAACCTATTTGAATTCAATTTTAACCAAATCGAGTTGAACATGAGCCACCGCCGGCAAAAATGGCTAAAACCAAATCGCCCACTTGAATTAATACTTTCGGAGTTCTAATGATTTCGAGGTGAAATAAAATAGGTTAGATTCCTATATTGATTAGTGGAAAATATATACCACTTATCAAATATTACTTAAATCATTAACTAGTATATATTGCAAAGATATGTGTATAAAGCGTATAATTTAAAATAAAATCATTAAGGCTGAAAAAAATCAGTAACTTACTTCTGTCTTTTAATTGATAAACATCCTTGTTGTTAATTTATTTGTTAACCCTTACCAATTTGTTTTTGTTAGCCTGCCAAAGTCAACATCCTTAAGCACTGCCATAAAAGTGTATTAACAGGTGCGACTATACCCTTTTTAGCATGAGTTTCTTGTCGCCTTTGCAATTGTCATTTGCAGGGTAATTTACAACTATAAAATACAAAAGCCGCACATGCATAAATCAACTTGGTCGCAATAAAGTATAAATTAAGGCTAAAAATAATGGAAAGCCGCAAAAGCAGACATTCGACTGCCAAAAGCTGAAACAACAGAAGAAGTAACATCAAAAACAATGGAGGCAAAAAAATTAAAATTAAATTATTTAATTTATGAATGACATAAAGTTTAATTTGAATGTTATGTCTGTCGCTCGAAAACCGAAACAGACACGTGACCAAAATGTTGTATTATTGGTTAGTTGTGCGTATTGTACATCTATACATATAACTTCTTCTGAGTCAGTCTCTCGGTGGGCGGTGGTTGATGGGCGTGGCAGATGCGGGAATTGGGAATTTCTGCCACACACAAATTGTGTGTGTGGTTTATTGGGATTGTTAGCTGTCCGCGGAATCGCTGTTAATTCGCAATTAAAATGCGCAACATGTCGACAACGGACCAAATGTCATTCTCTGACATTTTCCACAGTCCATCGTCGAAATCGTGGCCTATCAATAATACCGGCGAGACATCAAAAGGCCATCTCATGATCGACAGACGAGACCCTCGAGAAGTTGGCAGCTCTGACAGATATTCCGCATACCGAAAATCGCTATATAAAGACTATTCAATAACCAATAACTGGACACTAGGTGAATAATTGAAGTATTGGGCAGAACTATATATCGCTGAGGTTGAAGAAAATTAATATATTAAGGAAGTTCATTGGCAGTAACAAAAATGTTATAATAATGGATGAAGAGGAGGAATTGAAATGTAAAATTATACATAATTATTTTAAGGTATGACGGGTTTTAATTAGGTAATGGTTTTAAATCATAATATTAATTTTAGCATATTAATTTTAACATAATATTAATTTTAACACAATGTAAGCCCAAAATTGCCCTGTAATAACGATTTAATAACCAATAACTGCACACTAAGTATATAATTTTACTATTTGAAAGAACTACTAACTGGAGGGTTTTAATTAAGTGAAAAATAGAGGGTAAATTATTTTCCAGATAATCGGTATAATAATGCTGGATTTATGTTAAGTTACCGTGAACTATAATCATAACTAATATTTTAACCTTTGCTTTGTTAAGTAAGCCAGTGTCTTAAATAATAACACTAGTTATTAAACACTTTTAACAGGTTTATACTTACCTACCATTTAGTGACTCCATGCCCCGAAATTTCAATAATACTCGTTATTTTCATTGAAAAACTTACGTTTTATTGACTAAACTCACAATAAGAAGGCAAAACATAGAATAAATAATTTAGGACCGACGGGGAAATATTCCCGCATTGGCTGTCTCAGTTTCATTGGACTTACGACTAATTTAGCTAATTTTGCACTGCGCTTTGCTATTAGCAATGGGCCAAAAAAATCTAAAAAAAAAAATCGTATATATCTAGATGGTAACTTTTGTGCGTTATGCGACGATGACGATCTAAATGGGTAACACTAGGTATGCTCTAATTATAGGAAACTCTGTAAGCGGCGTATACTTTTCGAAAGCACCTAAACTTAAGTTACGATCTAGCGAAATATCAAATAGTATTTGGGTTACAATTTCACTGCTCTCTCTCTCTCTCTCTTTCTCCCACTGTTTTCTTCGATAATCCCCCCCTGCATATTGCCTTTGTTTTTAGCTTACAAAAAAAAATCGGTAAAAAACAAAAAGGCGAATAAAAAAATAGAAAACCCTGCGGGTTTCATCCCACCCCCCAAAAATCAGCTGCCAAAGATCCAAAGGGTCTATGTGTCTATATGTCTATATGCCATACAGCAGAGGGGGTGCTCTACAGCTCCTCCAGGCATCGGACATTGGTCAACATAATCCGGGTTAGCCGCCACACTTGCTTGGCCGCGTTCTCCAGGGCGCCCGGCGACTTGCCCTTGAACAGGTCCATGTTGGGCAGGAAGTAGTGCGGACAGCGGCGGCACTGCAGGCAGGATATCAGCTGCAGGAAGATCCCGTTGATGCGGTCCGCGATGCAGTTCTCCTCCCACTCCATCTCGCGCGGATGCTTCTCGCACTCGTAGAGCAGCAGGGTCTTCAGGTGGTACGAGGTCACCGGGTTGCCGGGCAGGTCCAGGTGCCGATCGCGCAGGGTCTTCAGGATGCTCAGGCACCGGCGTCGACTAGCTCCTGGAATTGCGATGAAAAATTTCAAGGTGTGATTAGAATATTGGGATTATATTTATCATAATATCCTTCTTAAACTTAGCAAGTTGTTTATAATTATATTTATGATAACATCCTTCAAAGGCTTTACAAGTTATTAATTTTATTTTCGTTCAAAAAAGATTTACTTGACCTATAAATATGTAAGTTTGCAAAAAGGCAAAGAAATTATAGAAAACTTTTAAACTTTTGACTCATGGAAAATTGACAGGTATTATTTGAAAATATGGCATCAATGGAAAGTTTTGGGGATATATTTATGAACCTTTTATTTTTACTTATATCCTTTTAAAACATTGCAAGCTATATAGAAAATAACAAGTTTTGATGCAACAAGTAATACTAGTCTTTTAAAAGTTTAAATATTAAGGAATGCAAATGCAAATAAAGCTAAAGAACAAAGAAGAAATAAGAAATAAATAATAGAAAACTTCTTAGCTTCTAGCTCTTGGAGCTAAGATTTGAGATTGAGATAAGAAATACGACTTAGATGAAGAGCTTTATAATAATATTATTTTTTCAACTTGGCAAGGTTTGCAAAAATACCTAGTTGTTTATATTTAATTAGTTTTTGATCCAGAAATGCTGCTTGTGTTTCTTAAAAGTTAATGTTGATTGGGTAGGCCTTGCTGGATTTCTAGTAACTTTTTGTAGTTCTACAGATTGATTTTGACTCAATGCATCATTCTGTCCACGCGATGCTATCGATACAATTGAGGCGAAATGATTTTGACAGAGCTATAGTCCGTTCGTTCTTTGTCAGATAAGCACTAACTGATCGATGGGTTTGGTCATTAGAACTCATTCTATCTCAAGTACATCAGTCTATTTGTTTCGCTAAGTGTTTTGCCTACTTCAGAAAGCTTTTGGTATTCAAAACTGACTCATGTTTTTTCGACTGGTATCAAATGAAAGCATTTAAAGCTTAAGGATATGTAAGATTTTGGAACAAATGACTCTTGTTAAAGATAATGGTTTTATTTATGGGGGTATCAACGTAATCCGGTCAGTGATTGGAATGTTGACTATTTTTAGAACTGTCCCGCAATTAAATAACACTTAAGATAAAGAAACGAGTTATCTAATTGTGCAGATCCCAGAAAGTAAAAGCTAAGTTTTTATTAGCTAAAATGAAATTAAGAAGATGATCTCATAAAAACTTTTGAACTCTCTAGGTGGGTAACATTATACATTCAATACATATTTTTAAATATGCTAGAACATAATAAACACCTATTTTTAAGGCAGTCCAACCAATAAAGTAGCCCCTCGACTTTGAATGGTCAACCATACTATATATTTAGTGTACTTATGTTTTGGTTAATTTTTTTTGTGTAGATTGTGTAGCTTAATTGAAATTAAAACGTTTATCTATTATGTATAATTGGGCTTTCTAAGTGGGTATTACATTTAATATATATTTTTTAACATAAATAATACCCATTTTTAAGGCAGTCCTACCTATAAACCTCTTCCTGTTTAGGGCCCTCGACTTTGATTGATCAACCATACTATATGTTTAGTGTACTTATGTTTTGGTTTCAATTTCTGCTTGGAGAGACGGACGTACAGGTATATAGTCCGCCCGATTCCAAATTTATTATGGCCGTTGGTGCGTTGGAGCACATAAATCATGGCTACGTTGGCACCATGTCAGCCGGGCTAATCTCGGCTCCGGTCCGATAATCACGTTTACGTCTACGTCTACGATTTTTTCCCGCTCCGGTTTGCGCTTCACATTGCGGCTAATCAATATTGAACGATATTGCCACAATATTGGCACTCGGACTCATACAGCCGCACATGGGGGGGCGAAAATCGGGTGAAAATCGATCGTACGAAATCGGGGCTCTCGAAGTGCCTCGGAAATCGAGTCCATGTCAAGTGGACGTTAATTTGGAGCTGCAAGTGACACTGCTAATTATAGTACTGATATGCCTTGGCCAAAAAATCAAAAAAAGAAAAGAAAAATACAAAACGAGGCAAGGAAAGTTGGTCAGAGTCTGGGTTTCGGTTTTGGTATCGGTTCTGTTTCGGTTCGGAGCATTAAATTAAATGACAAACACGCGGGGGAACCAGCCGGATCAATATCGATCAGAGATCGTTGTCAGGGGCCTTAGAATTGATTTCGAATTGGGTTTCAGTTTCAGTTTTGATTTTTGGTTTTCCTTCTTTTTTGTTTTTTTTTGGCTTGATTTTCGTTTTTGTTTTGCTTCGACGACTCTTAGCTTTTTGCTCCCCCAAAAACCCAATCTTTTTACCTCTTTCTTTACTTTTTTTTCATTTTTTTTTTGGTTTTTTTTCCCGTGTGTCATCTCATGCCTGGCCCGCTGTTGTTTTATTTATTTGTTGACTTTATCTAATCGCCGAGATTTAAAATATTTATAAAATCGTTTAGAAATTTATTTATGGCCCAGCCATTGGCATTGTTCATATGGAAACCCGTTTCCCCTAGCTCTGTGCTCTGAACTCTCTGGTCTGTAGTCTCTGGTCTGTAGTTTCTGTGGTCTGTAGTCCGGCCAACTAACCGTCTAACTGCCTTGGGACTGCGACTACCGAGACTGCGCTTATCTCTCGGGGATCAGCAGATTTGTGTGCGTTGTCGCGCTGCGACCAAAAAAAAAAAAAAAAAAATGAAAAAAATAATGAAAATGAAAATATATACAGAAGAACTAAGAAACTGGGAAACTTAAGACTCCAACTCCTCGGCTTTTTATACCGACTGCCCCCTTCGATCGAACATCAGATTTATGATCGTAGCCAACCGGGCGACGCTGGCCCGTATCTCATATCATATCTGGGCCCGATAATCGGATGTCTCGTTGGGCAGTCGTCGTCGACTCAACGAGTGGCTGAGCAGCGCCCCACTAATCGCCGGGCATCGGCATCTTATCGCCCTGCCTAATTGAATCTGCGGTGCAATTCTCCACCAACTATGCAGATTCGGCGTGACATCGCCGCGAGGTATTATGAGGTGTGCGTGACGATCTTGTTTGGGATCCACATCGATTTCACATCAAATTGCCAAATACAAAGATTTTTAAGCTGAGGTTAAGTGATCTTAAATGAGCCAATTTATTTCAACCAAACAATTTGATGTAAAGTTTCCCAGGGGATATATTGAAAATAATTTTCAAAATCATTTATAAAATCAAATGATTTGTGTACGTCGAAAATACATTACATTTTTTATAAGCCTCTGCCACAAGTGATTTAACAAAATATTCCTTAGAAGCATCTAACAAATCGTGAACAAAGCTTAACCTATTGTTAAATCAGATATATAAAAAAAATTGATTGATTACAACCTCAAAAGTGTATTGCTCGAAACAAATTCATTTTAAAATTTTCTTTAATTACAATAAATTTGATATTTAATCTAAATTAAATGATTTGATAGTATAGTTTCTCGTCAATCTATGATCAAGTTTGCCCCACTGTTTTCTGTATATAATTTGTTACTGTTTTCTTTTATAAGTTTAACTTTGCCCTTCAAATATCTAGAAATATCGTGTAATGCAGATTAATATATGTCTCAATTTCAAAAGTTTCTGTTGGTGAACAGAAATAAGTAAGAGCTTGTTAAGATAAATCCATTCAATGTGTTCCCTGAAATCTATAGCCCAAAATGGAAGTTCCCCCACTCCTTTCTTTTCGATCTAGCTGAACGATCTCCAAATTTATACGGTGTACCCCCGTCTGACGGTTAATTTACAACCAATTACGGGCGTATCAAGACGAAGTCGCTGATTTGATGGGAATAAATCAATTCAGTTTAAGTGTGTCACTGATTACTGATTGGGGGGCACTGGAGGCACTAAGAAAACATGCCCGAAATACGGTAGCCACTCACTCTGCACTGAGAAAAATTGTTTTTTGATAGTTTTCCCTTTGGAAATCGAGTTGCTAAACCAATGCCAACATTTTCTAAGTTCAATAACTTTACGTTCTTAGTGAAAAATATCCTTATATATGTTGGTTTCACTGTTAATATTGTTAAGGTTCTTATAGTTCGGTTTAAAACACATAAGCTTCAAAAACGTCTAAAACTTAAAGTCTTTTTATATAAAATTGTAAAGGTACTTTTAAAAATTGCTCAAAGTAAGATTATACCTTCATTTCTTACATATAAAGACAGTAATTGACATTTGGGCTATAAACATAAACATAATGAAATCAAAATCACCTTTGGTAAAAGATTGTTCATATTTCTAAATTTTTTTTAGTAAAACTATTTAGAAAGAAATAGTAAAACTATATAGAAAGAGCTCTGGTGATCCTTAAAAAGTTAGCGGGGCTAAAAAAAATGTTATAAATCGGAGGCTATTATTTCTGAACCCCTATTAAACTACTATATTGTTTGTAGTACTCTCAATTGTAAATACATAATGCCTGTATATCTTATTATGTATCCTTTACAGGCATTATAAAAAGATTACATTCAATCAACTGTAGCACCCATAAACGATATGGGTGTTAAATATTATACTCATAATAAAATATTATATAAATAGCTCTAATCAAAGTCTCAAATAACTATTGGGCCAGTTTTATGTGCTGCAGCCCTATGAATGTGCAATGTATTCGATTCCCGACGGCAACTCACCTTGCAGCAGCCGGTTCTCGGCGTCGGTGAAGCTGAGCACCCAGGCGTCGCCCTCCATGGCGGAGTTCTTGCCCTGGAGAGCGATGCACTCCTTGGAGAGCATGTCGAAGCCCTCGGTCTTGACCTCGGCCACGATGTTGGGATGCGGCCAGGGGATGCCCGGCAGCGGCCAGTGGGAGGCGGACCGGGGCCATAGGCCGGCGCACTTGAAGGCGGGCGTGATCTGGACGATGATGCGCTCCCGGATGCGCAGTTTCACCTCCGTGGTGTCGGCGATCATCTTGACGATGTCGCGGTAGGCGCACTTATCGCACGCCTGCGCCACCAGCGTTTGGAATCGCGATCGGATTTTCCGGGCGGACAAATACCCGCTGGCCGTGATGAACTCCACCCACAGGGACATGGACCGCTTCCGGCCATCGCTCAGCTTAAGCACAGCACATCCTGGCAGGGTGCCGTCGTCCACAAAGTTGAGCACTCCCATTTGATTGAGATAGATGATGATCTCGAACTCCGTGGGCGATATGACCTCCAGACCCTCGAACCGTCCGTTGTAGTCGTTCAGCGAGGAGATGAAGCGCGGCTCCTGCACCTCCACCTCCTTGAGCACGTCCTGGACGATGCGGCACACCTCCTGGATCTGCTTGTGGATCTGCGCCTTGCGCACCTGGACGCGGTCCGCACAGTACTTGTTCATCTGGTAGACCATCTTGGACTGCGCCGCAATCATGTCCGACGGCACCAGCATTCTCTGTGCGGCGGCTTGAATTTTCTTTTTCTTCTTTTGGTTTGGCGCCCAAAGTCTTTAGTCTCTGTAGTTGGAACTACTCGTGGGTTCACTCATTACCTAGGAGGCACACATGTAAGTCAGTCACACACAAAAAACAACAAGTAATAAACGGCACAGCGACGGGGCTTGGGTTCTTTAAATTTGGATTCTTATTTTGTTGATTCTTCAAATTTGTATTTCTTAAATATTGGATTCTTTTGTTTTGATTCCTAACAAGCGATTCTTGTATTCAGGTTCTTCGATTCTTTATTTTTCTTAAACGGCACAGCGACGGTTCTTTCTGATTCTTAGATTTTGGACTCTTCAATTCTCCAATTCTCCGCTCTCTCTTTCTCCCGCGTCTTCTCGCGCCGTCAACTCAACATTGACTGATTTCGAATGGCGTTCGCACCGCAAGAAAAGTCCCGCTGCCGATGCCTCTGCCAGCTTCGCTGCCGCTGCCGACGTCGCTGCCCGGATGGGCTCCACTTTTCAAGTGCGAACGAGATAGTCGTATGCTACTCCCGAGAGAGTGTGCGCCTCCTCTCTCTCTCTCTTATTCTACCCAACATGGCTCTTTTGAACTATAATTACAAAAACAAACAGAAACAGAAACGCAAAGTAACACGAGGAAACACTGCAAATCTTTGTCTATAGTTTATTTTATAGTTTATATCCCCGTAGATAAGCCCGGCTTTTGAGCCACCCTTCGTTTTGGCTCCTCCCCTTTGGCACTCTCTCGCTCACTCACACTTGCGCATAGAGGCATTACCTCTCACACAGATACTCACCCATACAGTTTCCATTCTCTCTTTTGTTTGTTTGTTTTTGGCTATTGGGGTTGTTGTTGCTTCTCTGTGGTGGGTGGAAACGGTGGACTGAATGAGTTATTGGGGTTTTGTGGGGGTTTTCTGGACGGGGGGAATGAATACAGGAAAAGTCAAATATCCCAGCCTGTCCAGGCGGTATAAATAAACCTAAGACTTGGGATTAGAAATATTGATTTGTTTACTTAGTTAGCGTGTAACCCAAAATGGTGACCTTTTTTGTGCGGAATAATAAATTTGGTCTACTTTTACAATATGAATATATATATAAATGAGAATGAAAATTATATTGGCTTGGGGTCAAAAAATCGCAAGCTGGGTCAAAAATAGTAATATCGTTGAATGTCATACCTTCTGATACTCAGTTTATTCAGTTCTAAGATCAGGCATTAAAATAAAATAAAATACAAAAAAAAATTTTTTTACCGTTTTCAAAATTTTTAAAAGGGGTAACATCATTAAAATTGCAAAAAATCGACCATAAATTAAATACAAATTTTATAATGCAGATTAACTTTAAAACAAATACCAAGCCTTGCGAAAGTAATTGGCTTTAGAAATTCCGATTTAGGTCCCCTTTTAGCAAAAGAATTTTTTTAAAAAAAGCCACAAAAATAAAATCTACCCAGAATTACGAACAAAAAAATTTAAAAGGCATTCCGCTTTAAAATTTTACTTAAATTGTTCATTTTATGGACTGTATAAGTCCAGTTTTGGGTCACATTACTTTTACTTAAATTGTTCATTTTATGGACTGTATAAGTTCAGTTTTGGGTCACATTATAGCCAAGCTATTGATACTGGTAAGTTTACCAAACTCTGTCTAGCAAACACTTTTTTCATTTGTTTAAATTTCATCTTTGAGTGCATAAGCTCATAGCAAAGAAATTCTAAGTAATAAATTGTCCTGGAAACGTCGTATAGGAAATGATACCTTATTTGCCGCCCAAAGAAGTATCTATTCATCTCCCTCCCCCAACTGTCGCCGTCTCGCTCTCGTCTACACGCCATTGAATTCCTTACCGAATTAATGCATATCTAATGTGATTAATGAGCGCTTAACACGAGCTCGCCGGACTCCATACCACTGCCACTGCCACTTCCACTTCTACTTCTACATCCACTGCCATTGCCACAGCTACTCGAGTCCACTCCAGCATTTTTGCGGTTCATGGTGGGGTCACCACTTACCCCGCGAGATGGTGATGCAGATGGAGATGGAGATGGAGATGGAGATGACCTGTCCACTCGAACATTAAGTTGCACTTTAAAGAGCGGCGGACAAATTATTATGTATAATTCAATTTGAACTGTGTGCCGGAACGTGCATTAAGATAATGCTAATTAACACCTCGGGGTTGGACTATACCATCCCTATACCTATACATATACCTATTCCCTATACCTATACTATATATCCACAGATGCTTTTCCCATCTTTATTCTTCGCTTAACGATAAGCAGAGAATGAAGATGGAGCCTGTTGGAATGGAAATGGAAATGAGGCGACCTGATAGGAGGGTCTGAAAAATGCGTTGGGAATCATTTTAATGGCCGCGTAAATGTGGAAAATTATCAAAGGAACACGAGCTTAATTGCGGCCATTATCGCTTTTATGGCATATAAATTGGAAATGAATTATGCAACAGCCGCAGGAGCGCTCGACTCGAGATCTTCATTAGTGGCCAAGGTCAAATCGAGTGGTCGAGCAAAAGGTCCCCCGATATCGGCCATCTATAGCATCGATGTGCAGGATTTATGCTTGTCATGCAATGGGCGATCGATCGCCGATAGTTTTTGATCCGTATTCGGATCCTGATTCCAATCCAATCCAATCCGGTAGTCGCGTCTTTAATTAAATTGTGTATGTTGGGCGAGTGTGTCGTCGATTCTCGGGGCTCCGAAAAAACGACTTCATCGGGCGGCTCCGTTTTTATCAGCTGCACGAGATCTCCACCTTCAATCCCTTTCTGCATCTGCACGGAGAAAAAATGTTGCAAGACTTCTGGTTATAAGCATTTTAGTGGAAGTTTTTGCATATCTATTTTTGGTTTTTCCCTGGCAATTTTTTATTTAGTTAATTTTATTTAATGTTGCATAGGCTTAAACTATAGGTTAGGTTATATATATCTAGTTATATATTTTAAATATTCATTTTCTAAATATGATGTTTTCAAGATTATTATATATAATTTTGTTTGGATTCTCCCCATTTTAATGTTAATATAAATGTTTTAGTATAGCTTAGACATTGTTTTTCTCTGTGGTATCACATACGCTTTGTGGTTCTGCGCCAAATGAGCAAATGGCGGAAAATTAAGGAGAAACAGGAGGAAAAGGAGCAACAGCATCGGAAACCGAAAAACAGAAACAGAAGCGACAACTGCAGCACAGAGATTGCAATCGCTGGCAGGAACATCCCTTCCCTCGCGATCTCCTCCTGCTTTTTCCCTGCAATTCCCTTGCTGGGAAACGATGTCCAGCAGCTGCTGTTGCTACACGACGCCTCTGACCCCCTTCTGCCAATCCCTCCCCTTCCCTGCCCCCTGTTCGACTCAACCCCTTCCTTTTCCCCTACCGTTAACCCCTTTTGTGGCGCTTTCGCACGGGCGACACTTTGACGGGGACATGTTCATTTATCCGGCGATTCGGTGCAGCAGATAGAAGGACCAGATATGGTCAAGTCGGAACATACCTACCTACCGGGGAAATTGGACAGCTAAAACACCAATCCTTATTTTGTATATGCCTTTAAACCACAAGCTTAATTTTAGCTCAAAACTCGATTCAAATAGGCGTTATTGATCCTTTTTTCGATTCTAAATTATTTTGTGTATCATTAATTACGGTTTTATTTTATTTCTGATCCTCAACACCATTTAAATACAGGCTTCTGTTTTTGAAGAATATAAAAAATTGGTAATATTGTAAAACCAAGTTTTCTCAAATTATTTTTTTTTTCAAACACACATAAAGAACTCAAAATATAAAATTGATTTCAATAAAAATACTATTCAATACTATCTATTTAAATGTTGTTCCTTAATTTTTAGTTAAGTTGTAAGAAAATTATATACTTCATTAAAAAAGAAAGAAATTGATAAAATGTCAACTATATTAACCAATCAAGCCCAATCATTTTAATATCTGTATCAATCACTTATTGAAACGAATCTGTTACATAATATCCCCGATATCAAATAAAAGATTTCAGGCCGATAGTTTTCCAATATTCATTCCTAGAAGCCACCCACGAAAGTAGATTGGATTACCTTAGTTTTCAACGAGTGTGTCATCGGGTTACCTCAATGTAACCCTTTGCCTCCGACCAGTGACATTTCCCGGAACTCGTGGCTCCACAATGAATGAAGAAGGGATGGCTGGGATGCCCATATAACTGGGCTTAATTAGGCCAAACAAAGATGCACCTTGCCACGATCGCTCATCGATCATTTTCCGATTGAGCTGGCCGGAGCTCTGATAATCCCGATATAACCTTTTATTTTTATTTTTCTTTTCTTTTCTATACTCTTCTCTTCTGTGTTCTCCATTGTTGTCTTGTTTCTTCTCTGAATGCTTGAGCCTTTCTTATTGTGCACTCGAGTTTGTCATTCGATATGATGGGCCCGTTGACAGGCGTTTTTTGATGAAGACAACCGCTGGCGCTTGTCCGGCGGTATGTGGCTTATATGCTCCCGGTTCCCTTTGGATAACCCTTTTTGGAATTGAATCGGTTGGAAATCGGTGGCATGTGCAAAGGTCAGCTGGCTGCAAAGAGGGCAATGGCATTCCGCGGTTAACATTTACCTGGCACTAGCCCTCGCCCTCGCCATCGCCAGTTGGCCCCTTCAACTGGCCCCCGGGAATCCCCTCGTAACCCCTGAGCTCTTACCAACTGACTCTTGGCTTGTTGGCCAAGTGGCGCCTGCATCCCGTCGTGCGTCGTCTGCATATGCGGAATATGCGTGAGCGTCGCCACGAAATGAGACTGGAGAACAAGCTCAAGACCCCCTATTCCCCCCCGCTCCCCTTGCCCCTCCCCGCAATTCAAATCTTAACCTTCCATACTGTACACACACATACACATATATAGACCCCTCTCTACCCACCATTAAAATCAGCGACATGCGGTTAAATATGCTTAAGTTTTTCCGCGGACAACTTGAAATTAAGTAGATGCCAAGATGCAAAGAGGGGGGTGCGAGGGTGCGAGGGTACGAGGCAAGATCATGCAAATTGTTAGCCAACAACCCCCTTCCCGATACTCCCCTCCGATCTTGCCCCCCTTTAAGACAGGTCCCATGTAGTTGGCTCGATTTATATTTTGTTTGGTCAGAGGAAATATCAACGCGTTTGCGTAAATGCTGGCTTAATCCATTCATTATGGCCATTAGGCTTTGTACGGCCTGATGGGTTTCGCTTTTTCCCCTCCTTTCGAGTTTCAGACCCCCGATAATTGCAGAGCAATTGATTAATCCCAACTCTGGTGCCTTGTCAACGGGCTGTAATCTTCTCCTTTTTATTCTTCTGCCAGAGCCACTGACACGTTCCCCAAAG